CATAATAGTCGGATTTCCTCGGTTGTAATCTTCCCCAAGTCCTGTTTATTAAAGACCGTGTACCCAAGGATTCGATGCGGAAGTCTGATGGCTGGGTGCATGATCTGACTGGCTAAAGATTACTTGGAGTTGAAGGCGTTCATTCTCGAAATGACCTTCCACCAGTGAAGGGGCTCATAAGCATGGAGCCCTGCATGTTTGGGGAAGAACATATCGGCATCGGGGTTGAAATCCAGCAGTTGGTTAAACTGGCGGAGGGTGAAGGTTTCTTTTTTGTTAAAGAGTTGGAAGGAGATGGAGAGATCATTATCTCCTACGGCATGAGTTTCGAAGGAAGCAAGAAACTCTAGGGTAGGCTCTTTTTAGGTTCGATAGGCACTTGACACAAAGGAACCGAGTCCGAGGTTATTGAACAAGAACCAACAATCCTCATCGATACCAAGCTTGGTTGTGGTGGAGTGATGGTAATGCTTGGTTGGTCTCAATTTTCTGTTTAGGAGGTTGTCATAGATGGGTTTGTGGTTTTTGTTGTGGAATTTGAGGGGTGGTAGAGGTGGTGGAGCGGTTTGGGGCGTAGGTTCATTTTGTTGGGGGTTGGAAGAGGATGAACCTTGGAGTTCCTTCCCACTTTTTCTCTTCTTATAACCAAAAACCATTGTCACCAATATCAAATTGCAGTCCAATTCCAAAACAATCACTCACAATAGTCACACTACAACAATCACCAAAACCAAGAATCACCAAGTTCAAACCACAAGCAAGCAATCTATGACAAGGAACAAACTAACACAAACAACAACTCAACAATTAATAATGCTTAAGATGATGAATGAATACAATATAGGCATGCACCAATCAAAAATTTCAACATGAAAATTCATAGACATACAATTTCTCAACCAAAAGCATGTTTCAAATTCAAAGGGTAATGAGAGTAAGGAAGAAATGTATACCAAAATGGATACCAATAATTGCTCCTACTATCCCCTTGAAGAAGAAATCAAGACTTCCTCCAAGAACCCACCAATGGTGAAAGAAATTGCCACACAAAGAGGAATACCGAAATTGGGGGTTTTAAAGGATGAAATTTCAGGTTTTTGGTGAGAAAAATTGTAGAAGAGTGAGGGAATTGTTGAAATTTGATGGAATTTGATGAATTAGGAAGAGAAATTTAAGAGGAATGGGTTAGGGTTTGAAATGGAGTAAGGAGTAGAGAGGGAAAAGGGGAAAAAAATATGATTATGTTTTCGGGCATGTGGCTGAAAATAAAAGGAGAAGTCGCAGACCTGAAGGGCCGCGCCCGCGACATGCTCTGACGGCGCCTGCGGGATCGTATGCCGCGCCCGCGGCTTCAGGGTTTCAGGTTTCTGTTTTTCTGGACTGCAGGATGCCGCGCCCGCGGGCCTATGGGCCGCGCCCGCGGCGGTGCCTGTCCGCGCCCGCGGGAGAGCACGCCGCGCCCGCTCCAGTCATTACCCAGGCATCTCCTCTTTATCTTGAAAACAGGGGAGGGGCTGCCGCACCCGCGAGCCTATGGGCCGCGCCCGCGGGTGGCCTGTGCGCGCTCTCTCTAGGATCCTCTCTGGGCATCTCCACTTCCTCTTTCTCCAAACTCCTTCTCTTCTCCAAACCCAAATTAATAGATCATGCACCCAAAGATCAAGGTACCTAAAGAATGAACAACGCATTCAATAAGATATTAAAGGAAAAATCATCCAAAAATAGTCAAAGACAAAAAAAACACAAAATCAAAAGGGGTTGAGAATTCGGGTTGCCTCCCGAAAAGCGCTTCTTTATAAGGTCATTAGCTTGACCATTTCACATTATCCTCAAGAAAGTGACTTAGGATCCGGCGGATCGAGCCTCATGCACTCAATCATGCCAATTAGATCATTGCAATGGTAGAGCTTCAAACGGTGGCCGTTGACCATGAACTTGTTCCCATTCGCTTCTAACTCAAACGACCCATAAGGAGTTGTTTTTGAAATTGTGAAAGGCCCCGACCATTTAGATTTAAGTTTTCCGGGGAACAAACGGAGCCTAGAATTGAATAACAAAACCTTGTCCCCAACCTTAAAGCTCTTGTTCCTTATATGTTGGTCGTGCCACCTTTTGGTTCTCTCCTTGTAGAGTTTTGAGTTCTCATAGGCATCATAGCGGAGCTCCTCAAGTTCATTGAGCTTAAGTAGCCTCTTTTCGCCCGCCAAGGTCATATCCATATTGAGCCCTTTGATCGCCCACCAAGCTTTGTACTCTAACTCGACCGGCAAATGACAAGCCTTTCCATAGACCAATCGGTAAGGAGTAGTACCAATCGGGGTCTTGTAAGCCGTCCTTAGAGCCCAAAGCGTATCATCAAGTTTGAGAGACCAATCTTTTCTAGACTTGTTCACCATCCTCTCAAGAAGGTTCTTGATCTCCCTATTTGATACTTCCACTTGTCCTTGAGTTTGGGGGTGGTATGGTAGGCCGATTTTATGATGAACCCCATAGCGTTTGAGGAGAGCTTCAAGTTGTTTCTTGGCGAAGTGAGAACCACCATCGCTAATAAGAACTCTTGGGACCCCGAATCTTGGGAAGATGATCGTTTTTAGAAGCTTGAGCACAACTTTGTGGTCATTGGTGGGCGAGGGTATAGCTTCGATACACTTGGTCACGTAGTCCACCGCCACCAATATATAGAGATTGCCACAAGACGAAACGAAAGGCCCCATAAAGTCGACCCCCCATACATCAAAGGGTTCAACCTCCAAAATATTTTGTTGAGGCATTTCATCACGCTTGGTTATGCCCCCACTTCTTTGGCACTTATCACATCTAGATATGAATTTGTGGGCATCCTTGTGCATTGTTGGCCACCAAAGAAGAGATTGAGAAATTTTAGCCACGGTCTTTTCTACTCCTCCATGCCCACCACATGGCAATGAATGACAATGCTCAAGCACCCCTTCGATCTCATGATCCGGAACACATTTTATGAAAAGCCCATCTCCACATTGCTTGAATAGATAAGGATCGTTCCAAAAAATACCTCCTCACTTCTTTGAAAAACCTTTTCTTTTGTTGAGAGGAGAACTCCGGGGGAACGACACCACATGCTAAGTAATTGGCAATGTCCGCATACTAAGGGCTTGGTGTTGATGCAATGGCCATAAGAGCCTCAAAACCAATTCTTCATTGATAGGCACGTCTTCTTTAGTCTCAAAAGGAAGTCTCGATAGATGGTCCGCTACATAATTTTCCGCCCCCTTTTTGTCCCTCATCTCCATGTCAAAGTCTTGGAGAGAAAGAACCCAACGAATGAGACGCGGTTTTGCTTCCTTTTTGGTCATAAGGTAGCGGACCGCGATGTGATCCGTGTAGACTATCACCTTTGAGCATATGAGGTAAGACCGGAACTTATCCATGGCAAAGACAACCGCTAGCATTTCCTTCTCCGTTGTGGTATAATTCTTTTGAGCTTCGTCGAGGGTTCTACTTGCGTAGTAGGTGACACAAGATCTTCCTTCCTTCTTTTTCCCATGCACGACACCTACAGCAAAATCACTTGCATCGCACATTAGCTCAAAGGGCAAGCTCCAATCCGGAGCTTGCACCACAGGAGAAGAGATGAGGGCTTCCTTGAGCTTTTGAAATGCCTCAAGGCAACCCTCATCAAAATTGAACACAACATCCTTTTTGAGTAACTCGGTTAAGGGTTTGGCGATAGATGAAATTTTTTTGATAAACCTCCGGTAAAAACCGGCATGCCCAAGAAAAGCTCTCACTCCCGTGACGGAGGTAGGAGGGGGCAACTTAGAAATCACCGAAACCTTAGCCGAGTCTACTTCAATGCCCTTTTTTGATACTTTATGGCCTAGGACAATACGTTCCTCCACCATAAAATGGCATTTTTCCCAATTCAACACTAAACTCGTCTCTTGACACCTTTTCAAAACTTTTTCAAGGTTAATAAGGCATGTGTCAAAAGACGATCCACCAACACTAAAATCATCCATAAAAACTTCAATTTCATTCTCAAGCATTTCAGAAAAAATGGAAGTCATGCATCGTTGGAAAGTTGAGGGAGCATTGCATAACCCGAATGACATTCTTCGGTACGCAAATGTCCCATATGGACACGTAAAAGTATTTTTCTCTTGATCATTTGGATGGATAGGGATTTGGAAAAAGCCGGAGTATCCATCCAAAAAGCAAAAGAAAGCATGATGGGAGAGTCTTTCCAACATTTGATCCATGAAGGGGAGAGGAAAATGATCTTTCTTAGTGTTCTTATTCAGCTTCCTATAATCGATGCACATCCTCCACCCGGTGACCGTCCGGGTGGAGATTTCCTCTCCTCCGTCTCCCTTGACAATGGTCATTCCACCCTTTTTGGGGACCACGTGAACCGGGCTAACCCACTTGCTATCGGAGATAGCATAGATTATACCCGCCTCACGCAATTTCAAAATTTCCTTCTTGACTACCTCTTGGAGGTTGGGGTTTAACCTCCTTTGAGGTTCAATGGAGGTGGATTGATCATCCTCAAGGTGAATACGATGCATGCATAAAGAAGGGCTAATACCCTTAATATCGTCAATGCTATACCCTATCACATTTCTATATTTTCTCAAAACAACAATCAATTTTTCCAAATCAAGACCATTAAGGGAAGCATTGACAATAATGGGGTATTCTCCTTCATTTCCAAGATAAGCATATTTCAAAGAAGGGGGAAGGGGTTTGAGTTCTACCTTGGGAGGGGGCTTAGAACTCTCCTCCAATTTTTCCTCCTTATGCTCAAGCTCATCATGCTTAGTACCGTTCTCTTCTTCCTTTTTGGCTTCTTCAATGGCCATAGCAAATTTCTTTGCTTCTTGGGAGAAGTAATCTTCCTCACATGTGAGAGCTTCGGCCATAGGATCTTTAGGACTCATGACAACCCTTCACAAACGATCTAGCTCTTCATTGACAACATCGACCCTATAACACTTCTCAACCATGGGGGTTTTGAGTACCTAAGAGAATTCAAAGACAATTTTTTCATCGGCCACTTCACGTATAATGGTATTATTCTTGCAATTGATTACCGCCCCCAAAGTTTTAAGAGCTTCACGCCCCAAGATCAAAGGTGTATCCACATCTTCTTCCATATCCATCACCACAAAGTCACATGGCACATAGATATGCCCAACTTGAATAAGGACATCTTCAAGCTCGCCACAAGGTAGCTTCACCGATCGATCGGCCAATTGAATGGTTTTCCTAGTGGGGATCATCTCGATGTTAAGCTTTTGAGCAATGGATAGAGGGATTAAACTAACACTTGCTCCGAGATCGGCTAGGGCACCCCTAGCTTCCATGTTCCCAATTTTGACCGGCAAGGTAAAGCTTCCCGGGTCCTTTTGCTTCTTGGGAATTTTGTGTTGAACAAGTGCACTCACTTGATGGGGAAGAGTGATAAGCTCATCATTGAGCTTCCTTTTGTTGGTGAGAATGTCTTTCAAGAACTTGGATTATGAAGGCATTTGTGTGACAACTTCAATGAAAGGGAGGTTAATGTGTAAGTTTTTCATCACACTTAGAAACCTTGCAAATTTATCGTTCAATTTTCTCTCCGCAAGCCGACCGGGAAAAGGAACCGGTCCATGAAGGTTTCTAGCCTCACTAGAAGTTGAGGATGTCACCACATCCTTAGTCTTCTTTTTCTCCATACTCTTCTCTTTCTCATCAACCTTCTCTTCTTCAACTTTCTTATCATCACTCATCTCTTCTTCTCCCTCCTTTTCCTTACCATCCTCTTCCTTGGGACTCTCATAAGATGTACCCGATCTCAATGTGATTGCCTTGCAAGAGTCGGGTTTTACAATGTCGGAAGGGTTGGTTTGTGATTGTCCGGGCAAAGTGGAAGATGAGTTAAAAGAAACTCTCTCGGCCAATTGTGCTAGTTGTGAATCAACCATCTTGTTATGAGCCTTGACTTCTTGCATTTGTTGATTCATGGCTTGAAGTTGTTGAAGAATTTGAGTTTGAGTAGAATCGGGTTGAGATGCTTGCTCTTGACTTCTTTGAGTTGCTTGGGTTTGATTTTGGTATTGGTGTTGATTATTGTGTTGGTTGTTTCTTGGGTAGTTTCCTCTTTGATTTTGGGTTTGGAATGGAGGAGGGTTTTGATATTGGGTGTTGGAATTGTATGGTTGTTGAGCCTGTTGATTCCATTGTTGAGGTTGGTTTGCAAATCCGGGTGGTGGTTGTCTCCAAGCTACTCCTCCACCATTTCCCCTATACCCTCTTGCCTTGTGTTGTATGCCGCTACATGCTCCAGGCTCAACCCGCCACAATAGGATGTATCATGGTTGGTGCCACCACAATTTTGACAAGAGAAAGAGTTGACTTGGGAGGAGCTTGAACCACTAGCAACACTTGTATTCAACTTGGCAAGCCCTTTTGTCAACATCTCAATTTGATGCTGCAATTGATCGACCTTCTCCAACTCATACTTCCCACCTTTCTTTGGAGAGTAATTTTTAACTACCTCTTCGATCGTTGCTTCAACTTGATTTTGAGGGACTTTGATCAATTGTCCACCCGCTCTCGCATCCAAATTAGCTCGGGACATCGGTTCCAAACCATCATAGAAGAACCTCATGAGTAAGCTTTGATTGTACTCATGGTGAGGACATGCTTGCACCAACTCCTTAAACCTCTCCCAAGCTTCACTAAGACTCTCCTCCGCCTCTTGTTCAAAAGATGTTATCTTCCTCCTCATCTCGGCGGTTTTTTCCTCGGAGATGAATCTCTTCAAGAATGCTTGCACAATTTCCCTCCATGTCGTGAGAGAATTAGGTTTGACTTGCTTGAGCCACTTCTTTTCTCTCCCCGCAAGAGATTGCCGAAATAGGTGCATCCGGATGTATTCTTGAGAAACTTGGTTGGTTTGTATCATGGCACAGAGTTCGAGGAACCTATCAAGGTGCTCAATGGGGTCTTCATTTGGCGAACCCGAGAATTGCTCCGCTTGAACCATTCGTGTGTATTGAGGATGGATGGTGAAGTTAGTCTCAGTGACGGGTAACAATATCCCACCGGTGAGCTCATAATCCTCCGGATTACCAAACTCACGGAATAATACATCCACTTGTTGTCCCGCCATTTCGTCACCTTGGGAATGTGAGGAACAAGAATCACTTTCACTATCAAAAATTGCACCAAAACCTCTTCCCTCTTCTTGATAGAGTCTACTGACTTGTCTCAAGGTTCGGTCGATTTCGTGATCAAGGTTGTGAGTAGGTGGTCCTTGAGATCTTCTTTGCATTCACCAAAGCTAAACAAACAATTAGCAATGACTAGCAAGTGGAAAAGGAACTAAACAAAAAGCAACAAAATCCACAAATTACGCAAATAAGTGTGCAAAACTAGCCGTCTCCCCGGCAACGGCGCCAAAATTTTGATCGGTGGACAATAGGTCGTTAGTTTATTATCCTAGATCAAAATTACAATTTATAACTCCTATCCTAGCTCTATCAAATTTTGCTTTAGATAGCGGTAAGGTAGGGTCGATTTCCAAGGAAACGGGGGTTTAACACAATTAATACGAAATCGAGGAGAAGTTGCTAATAACAAAAGGTGGTATTTGAATTTGTGTTGAAGAATTCTATGGACAAACTAACTACTATTGAGCCTAGAATAAACTAGAAATAAGGGAAATAGATTAAACACTTTTAAAAGCAAATACATGGACAAGATTATAGAGATAACAATGACAAAAACACTAGGGAAAGGGGAATTCAATCATGAACAAGAGTACTAGCGAAAACCGAAAGGAAACCGATTCTAGGAGTATAAACTCTACCTAAAATAGTTCATTCTCATGCAACTACTTAACACATAGATTAAATCATTCTCATGCATTCAATCAAGGGCTAGATTCTTGGGATTAGAGGTGCACACACTAACTCCAAGCATATTATAGCTCAAATCATCAACTCAAGAATAAGTCCCAATCAATAATCAATAGATATTCAAATACACATGATTTTCACCCCTTTCCCTAGCCTAAAAACCTAAGCTAGAAGGAAGGGAATGGCCATAACAACTAACATAAGCATGTATTCAATACCAACAAAACCTAACATGATTCTAACTTGAAAGGAAAATCAAAGAAACTAATAAAGCTTGAATATTTATGGAAATAAACTCAAGTAAGAGCAATAAAACTAAGAAAATCAAAAACTAGAGAAACAAAAGTAAAGATTGATATTATAAAGATTAAAGATTACCAAATCATTAAAGTAGTAGCAACAATCTAGAAGAAAGCTTGAATATTTGATTACAAAGATTAAATCTTGAACACTAGTGTTTTCTCTCTCTAGAAACCATGAACTTCTCTCTCTACAAATGTTTTTTTGGGGCCAATGAAATAGTGGATGCTAAGAAAATCAAGCAAGGGACTATTTATAGTCTTCTACCAAAAGGAAGAAAAAGGGCAAGGGAGAGGGCTCTCCGAACAGGCAGCCGCGCCCTCTCCAAGCTGGGTAAATAGCCTCGTAAAACCCAGAAAGCCACGCCCGCGGGCCTAAGTGCCGCGCTCGCGGGGCCAATGCCGCGCCCGCGGGGCCAATGCCGCGCCCGCGGCACATATGCTCCGCGCCCGCGGCTCGCCATCTCCACTTTCTTCTGCTGGCTTCAGACTTTTCCTGTCCGCGCCCGCGGCTTACAAGCCCGCGCCTGCGGCCCATCAGAACAGCGCGCCCTCTCCATCCTGGCATCTCCACTCCTTTGCCAAGCTCCTTTGGCATTTCCACTCGAGCTATGATTCGTGAATCGCACATAAGCGCTGGGAGCTGTCAAAACACATAAAAGGAGGTAAAAACTAGAAGAAAAGACAAAAAGGGGAGGAAAAATACGAGAGGGGGCTAAAGTGACTAAAATCAAGATAAAAAGGGTTAAAATAGGCATAAGCAAGTGACAAATCCGGGGGAAATCAGTAGTAAAAAGGGGTTAAAATGGTGGCATAAATGCCACGCATCAACCAGGTACCATTCGGCTTCTTTACTAGTACAACAGCGACAATGACAACCCAATCAGGGAAGTAGCACTGCCGAATGAACCCAGCATCCAACAGTTTCTTCACCTCGGCGGCTGCCGCCTGGCTTCTTTCTTCACCATGGTTCCTCTTCTTTTGCCTTACCAGGTTCTTTTTGGGATCACAACAAGTTTGTGAACGGCTAGATCCGGTCTGATGCCTGACATCTCGTCCACTTCAAAGGCAAAGATGTCTGTGAACTATTTCAAAAGACTGTGTAGATTTGCACCCAATTTAGCAAAAGCAACCGTCCCCACCTTAACTGTACGTTCTGGACGAGTTTCATCCAGAATAATATCAATTTGCTCACCAACCGGCTAGGGATGGAGTTCATCTAGCCGTTCTCTTGTTAGTGATTGTTATTGCTTCTCTATTTTTACGGTCATCAACTGGTCGACCTTTCTCCTTTTACCTCCTGCTATGGGAGCAGGCCTAGCTTCCTTGCTTGGTGAAGGTCAACAATTTCTCTACTGGCGCCGCATGCGACCACAGTGGGTTTGACATCAGAGAGATAGCACTCCGTAGCTGTCCTTTGGTCTCCTCATAGGGAACTGACTTTTCCATCATCCCTTTCAAACTTGAGAAGCATATGGGAAGAAATGATGACAACTTTGGACTCATTTAGGGTGGGACGTCCCAAAATCATGTTATAGGAGGTCTGCTCCTCAACAACTAAGAACTGGACTACCAAGCGACGTCCCTCTCCTTTTTCTCCCAGCCGAATTGGTAAGTCTATTCAACCTACCGGATGCACAACTCCGCCCCCAAATCCTACCAAGGGATGAGAGAACTTGTCCCAATAATTAATGCAACTAATACAAGCAAAACATAACATAATTAAAACACAATTAAGAGTAAGGATAAGAAATATACCCTCGACGAGTGCTTCGCTCTTACAACGAGCTCTTACTTCAACCTCGATAATGCGAGGCCTCCAACGGGATCGTACCCTCGAACTCGACCCGATCGTCCTAAGACTTGAAGGTTAGTTGAGGCCCAAACAAAATATAAACTTGGAGTTTTACAAATTTCAAGGTATACTCAACAATGGAGTTTCCTTTACTATTCCACTCAAGTGTGTTCTTTCCCAAATACCCAAGCCTTGGTATTTATAGGGAAATGAACCCCTGATTTTCATTTCCCAACCAATATAGGAGAATGAATAAAATTGATAATTAATTTAATTCTAAATTAAATGAATAATCAAATCAATCACAATGCAACAAGTGTCAAGGGGAGAGAGAGAGTTAGGTGAGGACCAAGAGTAAGTGGGGGGGACCATTGCCTTGCTCCCCAAGGCTTTACCCAAGGGTTGGTCCCCACCTCCTCACAAAACCGCCACCAAGGGCTGCTAGGCTGGCAGCCATTCAGCATTCCAGCTAGCACTGCCAGCTAGCCCAGCCAGCCAACACCAGCCAACATGCATCAGCCAGCCAGCCCATGCGCGCTGCATGCTGCTGTGTTGGGTGATGCCTATGCTACTGCTTGCTAGGCGCTAGGCGCTGCTAGCAAGTGCTACTGGCTCCCTGGCTCTCGCACTCGCACGCACACGCACACCAAGGCCGTCGCACTCCTTGTCGCACGCACATGCACAGGCCAGGCACCCGCATACGCATATGCATGCTTGGCTGCTTGGCGCTGCTGCCTGACCATCGCACGCACACACGCACAGCCTTGCTGGCTGGTGCGTAGTGCTTCTGGGCTGCTGAGCGTGGGCTTGCATTGTGCTGGCGCCTAGGCCACGCACATGCGCATTGCGGAGCACAGCGTGCTGCCATGCGAAGGCAAGCACGCAAGTTAGCACTTATGCTGTTGCGATGCTAGGCATGCACGCATGCCAGCACTCGGTGCTAGCGATGGTGCTTCCATGCTAGGCAC